GGCATTCCTCGTTCACAAACGGACCATTTATTTAAGTATATGTACAGTACCGCCCCACAGCCGAGCAAATCGGATGCACACACGGTACCCTTAGCAGGATACGGTTACGGTTTGCCATTATCTCGGCTCTACGCCAGATATCTGCACGGTGATATCGTGCTGCTTAGTTGTGAGGGTTACGGAACAGATGCTATTATTTATCTGAAGGTAAATCTGAAGGCTTGAAAATTCTCGCAAAAAATTTATAAAAATATATTTAACGATAGTTGTTACAACTTTATAATGTCATATATTTTATCTAGAAGCAATGATTAAAACACGGAAATTTTTATCTTCAGGCGTTATCCACCGAGGCGAATGAATTGTTGCCAATATTTAACAAGACTTCGTCGAAGTTTTACCGCATGCCGATACCCATTGCGGATTGGAGCAGCCAATGCGGTGGTGGGATGGCCACGAGGCAACTTACTATGAGTCACACTCAGGGCCACAGGCTTCCCCATGGGATGGAAATCACTCATTTATAGCAGAATGCGATCGATGCGGATCAGGAAACGATTGGGTAATTTGTAATAAGTAACAATATATGCTCGTAGTTTTTCTATATCTTTTCAATAGGATAAATTTAATTGTTTTTTTTTTCTCTAGGGAGCTCAGAAAGATTTTTTAACTGTAAATCACAAAGAATGCTTTAATAGGAAAGCTAGATCTGCATTTGAAGTTAGGACAAATGTTGAAAAAATATTCTCTACAAATATGAAAACAACTAGTTATTAAGCAAATGAAGTACTATATTGGCCAGAAATAATATTGATAATCTTCCTTGTGCCCGCAATTACATTACATATCAAATTATTTATACAGATTTAACAATTGAATTTTTTTTTAACACTTTTTCTGACACAGTAAAAGATTATTCACTACGTGTTTTTAGCGAGAACACTTTCACAGGGTTTATTCGAGCCAAATAAAAAGAAAAACTATTTTAAAAAATTTCGAAGGAGAGGAATGAATGATTTTATAATGAAGCGTCTAGATGATTGGATTGTGATTGTTTATAATATTAGGTTTTGTATAGCAAAGTGGGTTTAAACTTCTCGTTAATTATACTACAGATAACATCAAAGAGCATTTCAATTTATGAAGACGCATTTTTGTTACATTAATAAGCAACTCCGATAATACATCCTAGATCACGTATCCTGAATCTATTCATAAAAATTATTCGACATACTTATTATTATTATAATTACTTGACATAATTATTTGACATACTTATATTAAACAACGATACATGATGATGTGTATTAATAATATAAATATAATTTGTTGTTGTGATTTCTTTCTGAACAAAATTTAAAAAATATATAATATGTTTAGAAAAAAAAAGAGAGAGAGAGAGAGAGAGAGAGAGAGAGAGAGAGAGAGAGAGTGACAGAAAGAGAGAGTAGAAAAGAAAAATTAATATTTTTTTATCTTTTCTTCTTCTCTATTTTGTTTCTCTTTTTTTATATTATCAAATTATTTTCTAAGAAAAATTTTTATATATAGTTTATTATATATCGAATAAATTTAGAACGTGATCTAGGAAAAGTAGGTAATTAAAAATAAGTAATTCCTGATTTTGATCGTTTGAAAATTAACATGTAACAAACTGCAGACTGTGATGTAGCCTGAAATTTTGATTTAGCTGGTAAACAATTACACGTATTAATGTACGCGTGTACAAAATACGTGTCGTGTATGTAGTAAATTATAATTTCACTGCTGTATACGGTTGTTTCGAATGATTATAATAAGGACTAATTAAAGAAAAACTACTTCCTATCTTCCGCAAAGTATTTGATGTTACATAAAAAATTCACTGTTAGCCGGCCAATTGGGTACAATGTTTTTTTTTATTATAATTTATATAAATAGATTAATTTTGAACGGATTAGAGATGTTTCTTTACGGAGTAATCTTTTGGTACAGATTTCACATTCTGAGGTATCTGTATATGTATTTTTGTATCTGTATACATATAAATACCTCAGTATATTTTTAGTTGTGTATTTATTTTAATTATTTTTAATAATATTGTGTTTTTTTACAGAAACACACTTTAACGCAAAAATATCATCACATGATTTGTTTGCCAGTTTTTCATTGGATCTTCGGAAGAATAATAATTTTTTAATTGTCTTATGAAAATATCAATGATTCTTTACATATAT